CCCTTGGCTGCGTGATCTTGGACAGGACGTTGTTCTTCTCTGGGGCTCGGATTCTGCACATGAAGGATTCCCTGAATTCCCTTCCAACTCAAACTTGCTACAATTCCACACGGTCACTGGGGCCACACATGCTGCCCTCTGCCACCCGGGCAAGGGAAACAGTAAAGCAAACACAAACAGGAGGGGCATTCTGAAACAAGAAATCACACAGAGAGGAAGTCAACAGCATCCAAGGAGACAGGCAGCGACGGCCCAGGGGTGACGCCGTGATGCCTCAGGGAGGTACAGACACAGGATGATTCATAGCAGAATCTGGATTTCACGTCAGGAAAGTAACTGGAACGCTTTAAAAGGACGCCTAAGGGGTGGGGAGTGCCGTGGGCGGAGACACTGGGAGCCAGATTTTAGGAGCTGAAATGAATCGGAGGAAATAGCAGGAGACAAAATTTGAAAATCAGGTGATCACTGGAAGGAAGGGTTAGGTAGCAGCTTTTCTAGCTTGAAAAAAAACTTGAATCTATTTAAATATGGGCAGAAAGAGACCAAAAAAGGCCCAGTGAGTCCGGGGCTCCTTACCTGGAGTCTGCAGGGGAGAGGGACCGCCACGGGGGAGAAGGGGTGATGGGTATAAACAGGGAAAAAAGGTGTCTGCTATGTAAAATCAAGGTGCTGCTCTTCCAACCCGCTGCAGGCTTCTGTCAGGTTTGCTCTAGATTAATTTTAGGAAGGTCAGTCAGAAGCCACCCCTAACTGAACACCCAGCCTCGTCCTGCACCCCTGGAGTCCAGTATACTAACGTTTCTTTCCACCTTTCAGTGGCACCTCATAGCCTAAGGGTGGTGAGGCGGCCATCACACCAACATGGACACATACAAAGCCAGTCCACGGGCCACAGAAAAATGCACGTGGGCACTCGTTTCTAAATGTGCTCCACCCCCCTTGTCCCACCATGGTGCCAATGAGAGGATGCATATGACAGCAAATCCACAAGGTCTGGGAGGACACACCTTCCACACTGCCTGTTCCTAACAGTAAAGAATAAAACACAAAAACAAGAGAAAACTTGTGCATAACAAAGAGTTCCCCTAACTTAAAAAAAAAAATCACTTCCAACTGAGAAACAGTAAGCCTGGAACAGAATTTTAAATCAGTCCCCTTAATAAGTTATGAGCCCCACGTTTAAAGCTTCAACGAGTTGAAGGCAAGGATGGAAAACCTTCCCAGCCTCTTTCCCAGAAGGAGATCTGTGCAACTCAGCACTGCCTCGGCTGGAGATGGGAGAGAGAACAGACTGCAGAATCCAAGGCCCCACTTCTTCGAACCACCCAACATCCAGCCGTTTGCCCACAAACAGGTCCTCTGTGGACAAAACTCCCAACCACCATGAGGAATGACAGAAAAGTCTTCCACAGAGGCGGGCGGGCCGACAAGTCTATAGACCACAAGCTCTTTAGCAAGTTGTCCCAGACTAACACATTTTAACTGCCATGTGTGCCTGATGCAATCAAACATCAGAATGCTTTCATTGCAGGGATATGCTCACCAAATGAGAAGTCAGCACCATCTGAACTTCAGCAGCTACCATGTTTCGCTCAGACTTCGAAAAAAAATGTCGTTGCTATTCATTATGCTTAGAAGTGAGATTGGCATCACTAATACCAAATTCCTGATGGCGTTAAGAAGGAGCTGATGGCAGCAGGTAATGTGAAATCATTCCCGCTGGTCTAGCAAGTTTTCCAAAGTTCTATCGAGTACAGTCCTGATTCTATAATCCAGTGGGTTCAGGATTTCTAGGAAAGGAGGTAATTTTCTAGGTGATTCTTCTGAGAGAAGCAGCTGGATAGATCTCAGAACTGGGGACCTGAGGTTTGGCATGTAACGGGTTGTTTTTTTTTCAGATAACCATCTGGGTGTTCTCAAGTAAGTCATCTGCACATTCAGAGTCTGTTTTGTTGACTTGTAAAAGGAGGCTTCAGGGCCAAGCCTCCGCCAGCTATAAGCATCTCCGATTCTCTAAGTGCAAGTTCACTGCATTTTGGCGAGACGGCCCAGATAATCAGAATGAGCCAATCAACACCCTGTAATGTAGAGTATTCTATTCATAGTTTCAGAAACCACACAGTTTCGGACGGGAAGGCATTAGATCCTGAAATACAGCCACTTCACTTTTCAAAACAAAGGTGGAATCTGAGGTCCAAAGATGGAAGGTGGCTTTGCTAAGTGACCAGCTAATTAGCGGCGGAAGCCAGATGCAGCCGCCTACCTGGTCGCGGCGGCACAGACCCCTGCCTCACGCCGCGGCTCCCGAACCGCCGTCCTCGCCGGGAGCTGCCTGAGCCCTGGTGCCATCTGCTGCCATCCGGGCTGCGCCCTCCGCCATCTCCTGAACACAGCCCCACCACAGCTGCACTTCGCCGCTGCAGGGCTGCCAGTTTTTCAGACACCTAACCCGGGAAAGATCTTCACGAAAATACGCAGGATAAGACGCTAAAGTCCTGCGAGGGCTGTGATGGGAGCGGACATCTATACCCCACCCGCCTGTCTCCCATCTTACCAGGTGAGTCTTTTACAGGCAGGAAAGTCCCGGGAACCCAGGCCACAGCCGACAGCTTCGGTAGCCAGACGGCAGCCCTGGCAGTGTGCACACTTCGTCACCTGCCCACAGGCAGCTGGGAGTGTTTGGCACGTATCTGCCAACTTCACGGGAAGGCACTCAGCCCCGTGAGGGCACAGACACTGCCCAGGAGGAAGCTCACAGGTGTTGCACCCATTCCCACCATGGGATGCCAGCCATGGCCAGGCTGTGATGAAGGCAGCGCTGGGAGGCTGCCCCCACTGCTTTGTGGGCGTGGACTCACTGGAGGGACCGCCCCACATCCCTCCAGGGACACCCTGGGGGTGTCTGCACAGGAGCATCGCTGTGTGCCGCCCGATAGGCTGCAGTCTGTTCCCCTAGGAGGCTATTTGTTCCAATGAGCACAACTGACCGCATGGCACCCTAAATCATGTTGGGTCCAGCCACCTGATTGGGTCTGTCAGACACAGCGTCGTGCGAAAGAAGCCAGGCACAAATGAGTCCACGTTGCATGGTTCTACTTACATAAAATTTAAAATAAAAAAACAAAACAAAACTAACTAATGCTCATGACAGAAGTCGGCACAGTGTTACTTCCTACAATCAGATGTGCAGGAAGAAAATCTTACACAGTGGAGCACAGGAGCTCCACAGGAGACATCACTGAAGACCCATGATGTCCCTTCTAACTTGCAACACATTCTGTCCTATCCTGGTTGGGTTGGGCTGTGTACCTCATTATAAATTTGTGAACTTGAAGTTACTTGAAATGGTTTAATAAATGGAATGAAGGTATAGATCACAATAACACCTACCTGAAACAATAAAAAAAAAAAGGGAAGGGGGCCACCAGGAGCTTCTGGGGTGCTACAAAGCCTCCATTCCTTGGCCCAGGCACTGGTGACACAGGTGAAGGCATTTCAAACCTGACCAGGTTCTACGCTTCAGATACGTGTGCCCTTCACCATCACATGTTATGCATGTCATTCGGCAATAAGAAACTAATTCATAGTAACGTTACAGGTCTCCTGATGTAAATGAAAAATAGCCTTCTTCCTTTCCTTCAGCATAATGGGATTCTCTGAATTGAGTCTTTGCAAATAATATTATTAGTAAAAACAACAGCTGGAGTAAGAGCTTACATGTGCCAGGCCTTCTACAAGGAAACTTACATTATTGTCCCCTTTAATCCTTTAAACGTTTCCAGATGCCATCCACATTTTCATTGCACAGATGAGGACACTAGGCACAGAGAAGTGAAGGAACATGTCCAAAGTCACACAGGAAATAAGTGTCAGAATTGGGATTTGAACCCAAAGCAGTCTGACTCCAGAGCCTATGTCCTTAATGGCCTTAACATTTTATCGTGTGTTGCTGGACGAGGGGATTTTTGAATCTGGAAAGTGTTTTATTTGTTCTATCTTTTCCTCTGTGCCTGAGAAGTCCCTTGGTTTATGATGCTCAGCTCTGCGAGGAAAGAGAGCCCAGGTTTTGGTGGTGGGTTAGCCGTTTCTTCCAGTCACATTCTCAGGGTCCTTTCAGGAGATACACCCAGCTTGGTGCAAAGGCCTGTTTCGCGTGCCTTTGGTAGCAGAGCGGAGGTGCTGTTATTGGCTTGTTGGACCTTGACCTCATTCCTTTCCCTTAAAAGAAACACAAAACGATCTCTCCGGGGCTTTCTGGGACACCATGTCTTGGGACCAGATTTCCAGTGTGCTACATGCTTTTAAGATCTGCTTCAGACCTTTTGAAAACACGAAGGGGGCTTATTTTCCTCTTTTTCTAGCTTTTATATTGTTATTACATTAAATGTAATGCATCTGTAGAGCCTGGAGAAAGCATTAACCACTCTTTAATTAAAAAATCCACAGTGTGTGATTTTCCAGATCCTCCGTCTTGCCCCTGACCACCTTCTCCATTAGTTTCTCTGAAGTTCTCACATGAAAACCTGCTGGATCAATGATTTCTCCATGAAATGGAGCCATAATTAGAGGCCCCCTACAAATCCACTGGGGAAAAGGGCAGAAAGTGACTTCCCAACAGCTCAGGCCCTGCCAGCAAGCAGGCCCACGGTGTTAGCCCGGCTCCGGGACGTGATACAGAAACACCCCTGCCCCACCCCTGCTCCACAAGGGCTACAGATGCACTCACTTTCCAAGGAACTTGAAAAATGTTTGAATGTTTAAATTTTTTATAAAAAATGGGTCTCATCCCACCCCTACTCCTGCCCACAGCTGATCCACTGGTTCACAGCCGGCCCCTCCCCCAGCCCAGCTCCTGTGCTCAACGTACCAAGGGCCAGTCACCCTGCAGCCTGAAGGCTCAGAATTAACGCTGCCTCCCCGTGAGTGGGGACACAGAGTTCTGGGTGACAGACGGCCCCACCCACCCTCTCTGCTCCACCCATCACCCATCATCTGCCTGCTATGCTGCCTAAGCTTGTAACCCTCCTGCCAGCCCCACGCCCAGATCTGCCTCACCCCAGCCGCCCCCAGGCCAGGCCCCACTCCCTGTGCCGCATCTCACATGTGCCCATGTGGCAGCTGACTTTCCCAGGCTGCTCCTGCTGAGCGGTGTCTCTCACTAGCCATGCCTAAACTGAGCCAGAACTTGCTGGCCTTGACCGCATGGTGAGGGCGGCATGCAGAGCTCGGTCACTGGGCCGCCCTCCCCGACCCATCATGCACAGGGAGGCAGCCTTGCCCAGTTCTTCATCTGCACTTAGCCCTGGACAGATCCGCCAAAGTCCCTCTCACCTCAGACCCCACCCCTGGGCTCCAGGCCCACGAGATCAGGTCCTATCAGGGAGAAATCCCCGCATTTGACCTGCTCTGTTTCAAACAAATCGCGAGTGATTTCAGAGACGTGCGTGATCTCTGACACTGTTAAGGCACCAACGTGAACCGAATGTGGAAGGAAGGAAGGCACGATGCCAGGTGCCCGGCTCCACATCTCAGCCAAGCACAGCCTTGTTCTCTGGTTGGCCTTCAGGAAGGAGCCGACACGCACACATGCGTGATCACACGTACACACCCACCGAGACAACCTACTTTGTTCCTTTCCGGACAATGGACTTGAGGGGGAAAAAAAATACACTTTTGGTGCTGGCAAAAGAAATGAAATAAAAGGTAAGAGAGCAAAAACAGTAATGTCTAATTAGCAACCAGTACTTCCAGATAATTTCAGAATTGAATAATAAATTTGGTGATAGCTAAAGTGAACAAGTCTATCATATATTTGTGATGAAAATAAGAAAAAGTGACTCTCGAATTAATGTCCCAAGCAGAGCAAGCACCACACATTGTGTAGGAAATTATACACACACATGGGCCACCTAGAGGTCTGGGGGTCCTTTCAGATGCCTGGGGTCTCTTTTACTAGTCATGCCAAGGAGAAAATGTAATTTTGAAGTCATATTTGAGAACCTGTTTCCTGCGCATTGGCGCACAGCAAAGCCAGAGGTGGGCTCCTCCGCGAGATGCTCACCTGGTCGTCGTAGCGGTACGTGAGGAACTGCTCCCCTGTCGTATCTTCGAGAAAACTTCCCTGGGGGGAGAGCGCGAACTCGGGAAGGAAATAGGCTCCAGGAGACTTCTCTGCTGCGATCTGAAAGGCAAGATCGCTTGATTACCAAAAAGGACCCAGTGAGGAGCCCCCAACAGACGTCTCTGAAAAGGGTGATTCTAAGAGAATCCGCCTACTAAAGGCTGTAGCAGGAAAAGGGAAGTGACACCTCTCAGCAAAGGCCACAGCGAGTGGCACCACAGATCCAGGCTCTCACATGCCCACCCCCACTTGCACACACAGTATTTATTCCCTGTCACCTGCCTCTCTGTCACCTTCCAGGGATGCAGCCAGAGTTAACTTGCTTAAGTTGCATTTTTGCAATCCATTGTTTCTAGGGTTTTCTTTCTTTCCTTCTTTTTTTTCTTTGATGAAGGAGTGAGAAACTTTTTTCCATACTATAACAGAAACTCATGTTTGTGGAAACTTTAGAAGTTACAGATGAGCACAAAAGAAATTAAAAATCATCCCTAATCCTTTCAACCTATACTAACCACTTCCTATTGTCTTGGTGTATTTCCTTTGAGACTTTTTTTCTCATAATACTTTGCATATTAATATAAAAATCCAAGGGTAAGTAAACATGGATTCTGCAGAAAGAATCCATTTGGTTCAAGAAAAGATTATATGCAGGCATCTACATCATTAGACATAAGCTCCAGTTGTTGGGGTTAAGGGGAGTCAAGAGAAAAGGTATCACAGTTGGGGACTATGGCTTCAATACGATGGCCGGGGGACTTCCTACCACCACTTGCCAATACCCCCGGCCTGATGGAGCCCATCTCATAAAAGTCAGAGCATGCAGGCTGCTTACCAGGATCACTGACTTACTGATTCAAGGAGGAAAGAGAAAGAGGGGGTAGGACCCCCAGTGCTTAGCCTCCCCTGTTCAAAAAACATGGACCAGTGACTATACCCCCAACAGAGAACCTCACTCCCAGGCTTTGAAAGGAGTAAGAAACAGAGTAAGAGGTCAACAGGTGTTACTCTGAGAACAGAAAGAGTGGGGAATAAATGTACCCCTCAAATACCCCTGCTCCCCCAAGGGTCACATTCCCGAACTGAAGCAGGAACTCTGGGTTGTAAAAACATCCATTTGAATACTGCGCTTTAAAAAGAGAAATCAATACATGATGGCTTTGTCAGAGCACACAGCACAGGGAACACCATGTTTTGGTTCACACTAGACTATTCAGACTTCAAGGTTTTCCTATTACATTTCATTCACAGGAGGGATTCCATACCAAGTGAGCGACAGGAACCTTCCCAGGGCCATGCAGCCCCAGATCTCCTTTACCCTCCTTCAGAATGGCTTGCTTGAGGTCAGATCACTTTATCCGACGTGAGGAAAATAGGAAAACCACTCATAACAGTTCTGTTAAGCAGTGAAGCCACCCTTGACCTGGGCCTGTCACCTTGGGCTCTGGACCACTGCCATGTTCCCTGGAGGTTTCCTCTGTTACTCAGCCTTCCCATGGGGGTGGCTCTGCTCTAGAAGCTGGCAGGGCCACCTTGAGGCCCGCAGCAGAGCCAGGGTACTGAGAGTCCGGCAGGGAAGTCTGACCAGGCCCAATCAAAGGCTCAGAATATGTCTGTCAGACCTGACTGACCAGCAATCTGATGACAGCTGGAGATTTTTTTCTAAGTGACCCAGGAAGGAAAAGAAGAGGAGCTAGTTCCACAGACCCCACAGCGATGGCACGACTCTCGCATGAGTAAGGGTCATTCTGCAGATCTCCACGTGAAATACAGAGACAACAACAACAAAATCTTCCCAGCTTGTCATTCATCGGTATTTTTAGTGTTGGCGGGGGGTGGGGGGGAGCCGACTCCTATCTTAAGGCTTGATTATAGCTGTAACTGGTCACCTTCTACTTTCTGACCTGCTGTTCCAATCTTTGAACCTCACTTATCAGGCTTACATCAAAGTGATACAGGAATAAAAACTTCCATGTGAAAATAAGAGATAATATGATGGTAAAATTTACTTTTTTGTATGTTTGAGTATGTGTAAAAGTCCCATTATTCTCACCAAAGAAAAACACATAACTATAAGAAAATGATGGATTTTATCTTAAGAGAGTTCACATAAACCAATTACCAAAATGCCTAACAAATAGTCATAAAGTTAGTTATTGTAGTAATTTTCCTCTATGGCCTTGAGAGTTCATAGCATCATGATTTAAATGCCTAAAGAAACCTTAGCAGTCAAATAAGTCTAACTCCTCACTTTATAAAGTAAACAAAGGTTCTGAGAGTTAAGAGACTTGCCAAGTACCACAGACCATGAGCCACGGCTGGAGCCCATGAGCAGCCATATGCAAAGACAGAGACCCATTTACCAAAGAGCAGGGGCTTGGAGCAGCCTAGAGTCACCACCTTAGAACAGCTCCATGAATATAACAAATTCCTAGAAATGTACAACCTTCCAAGACTGACCCAGGAAGAAACAAAATCTGAAGAACAAAATCTGATTTCATTACCAGCAATGAATTCAAATTGGTAATCAAAAAACTCCCAACAAACAAAAGTCATGACCAGATTGCTTCACAGCTGAATTCTACCAAACATTTTAAGAAGAACTAAACCCATCCTTCTTTCCAAACTCATTCTATGGGGCCAGCATCACTCTAATACCAAAACCAGACACACACCACAAAAAAGTAAATTATAAACCAGTATCTCTGATGAACATAAATGCAAAATTCCTCAACAAAATATTAGCAAACCAAATTAAAAAATACATCAAAAGGATCATTCATCATGACCAAGTGGGATTTATTCCAAGGATGTAAGAATGGTACAATATTCATAAATATAAAAAATATTCATAAATTAATCAATGTGATATACCACATTAACAAAAGGAAGGATAAAAACCATATGATTATCTCAGTAGATACTGAAAAAACATTTGACAAAATTCAACATCCATTCATGATAAAAACTCTCAACTAAATGGGTATAGAGGAAATGTACCTCAACATAATAAAGGCTAATATATAACAAACCCACAGCTACTATCAAGCACATTGGTAAAGGCTAAAAACTTTTCTCCTAAAATCAGGAACAAGACAAGGATGTCCACTCTCACCACTTCTTTTCAGCACAATACTGGAGGCCCTAGCCAAGGCAGTCAGACAAGTAAAAAAGGTGAAAAGCACCCAAATCAGTAAGGAAGGAGTAAAACTGTCACTATTTGTAGATGATGTACTATACGTAAAAAACCCTGAAGACTCCACCAAAAACCTATTAGAACTAATAACTGGATTCAGCAAGGTTGCAGGATACAAAATCAATATGGGGAAACCTGTTGCATTCCTATATACTAACAATGAACTAGCAGAAAGAAAAATAAGTTAAACAATTCCATTTATAATTGCATCAAAAAGAATAAAATACCTAGGAATAAACCTAACCAAGGAAGTGAAAGACCTGTACTCTGAAAACTATAAGACACTGATGAGAGAAATTAAAGAAGACAAAAATAAATTAAAATCTTTCCCACTCTCATGGACAGGATGAATTAATAGTCGAAATAGCCATCCTGCCCAAAGCAATTTACAGGTTCAAGGCATTTGCTATCAAAATACCAACAACTTTTCTCAATGAACTAGAGCAAATAATTCTAAAATTCATATGGAACCATAGAAGACCCCAAATAGCAAAAAGAATCTTGAGAAAGAAAAGCAAAGCTGGGAGTATTACACTCCCTGACTTCAAGCTCTACTACAAAGTCACAGTAATCAAAGCAATTTGGTACTGGCACAAAAACAGACCCACAGATCAATGGAACAGAATGGAGAGCCCTGATATAAACCCACACATATATGGTCAATTAACATATGATAAAGGAGCCATGGATCTACAATTGGGGAAAAGACAGGCTGTTCAATAAATGGTGCTGAGAAACCTGGAAAGCTACAGGAAAGAGAATGAAACTGTATTACTGTCTAACCCCATACACAAAAGTAAACTTGAAGTGGATTAAAGACCTGAATATAAGACATGAAGCCATAAAATTCTCAGAAGAAAACTTAGACAAAAAACTCTTGAACATAAGCATGAGCAATTTTTTTCTGGGCAAGGAAAAAAAGAACAAAAATGAGTAACTGGGACTATAACAAACTAAAAAGTGTCTGTAGAGCAAACGACACCATCAACAAAACAGAAAGGCAGCCTCCAGTGTGGGAGAGCATATTCATAAATGGCTTACCTGATAAGGGGTCAACATCCAAAATATATAAAGAACTCCTATCACTCAACACCAAAAAACAAATAACCCAATTAAAAAATGAGCAAAGGACCCAAATAGACATTTTTCCAAAGAAGACATACAGATGGCCAACAGGCATTTGAAAAGATGTGCTAATCATCAGGAAATGCACATCAAAACCACGATGAGATAACACCTCACACCAGTAAGGATGGCCACTACCCAAAAGACAAGAAGTGACAGATGTTGGTGATGATGTAGAGGAAAGGGGACCTGCCTACACTGTTGGGGGGAATGTCAATTGGTGCAGCCACTATGGAAAACAGCAGGGAGGTTCCTCAAAAAACTAAAAATAGAGATACCCAGTAACTCCACTTCTAGGAACTAACCAAAAAAAAATCTCTGATTTGAAAAGATATACAGACCCCTGTGTTTACTGCTGCATTATTTACACTAGCCAAGAAATGGAAGCAATCAAAGTGTCCATCAATAGATTAATGGATAAAGAAGATGTACATATACAGGATAGAATATTATTCAGCCATAAAACACAAAGAAATCCTCCCATTTATAACAACACGGATGGACCTAGAGGGTATTATGCTCGGTGAAATAAGCCAGGTGGAGTAAGAATGGTATCAGTTATTTGTGGAATCCAAAAACAAAACAAAATGTAATGACCAAAACAGCAGTTCACTTACTGACACCAAGTGACTGGTAGTTGCCATGGGGGAGAGGTTGGGACGGGTGGGTGAAATAGGTGAGGGGGATAAAGAGGCACAAGATCTCAATCTTAATATAAATTAGTCACAGGGATGAAAACACA